AGAGAGAGAGAGAGAGAGAGAGAGAAAGACAGAGAAAGACAGAGACAGAGAGACAGAGAGACAGAGAGACAGAGAGACAGAGAGAGTGTGCCGGCGCACATATGTATACACATGTATGTAATGGGAATGGGGATGTAGTTGAATAGCTCCATCTTAACTCGATATTTTTCGAATTTTCGAACATGCAATCGTGAGTATACCATCATTATTTGAACGTAAAACATGATCTATGGTTCTCAGTGATCTTCCACAGACCCAGGACTCAACAGTGCAGCGTTTTCTCGACTCGCCTTCTCTATCACGTCCTTCATGTACTCGGGTGCTTTCTGGAAGATCATAAAAGTAAGAGGTTCAATACGACATTTACTAGGTAGAAAAGATTTAATAGGTAAGAATAAGGGGTAAAAAGATCCTAAATGTTGCCATTGTTATCATCATTATCATGATCATCATTATCATGATCATCATGATCATCATCATCATCATCATCATCATCATCATCATCATCATCATCATCATCATCACAACTACCACCACTTGCCTCATAGACTTGCTTCATGTCGACAAAGACTCTGATCCACGTATACAGAGGCAGCTGTCTCAGGCTGGTGCGTGAGTACACGGCGGTGTTGAGGCCATCATCGTCGATTCTACGAGTACTGAAGTGGGTGATGGAGAATCTGGGGGGAGAAACAACCCGTTGTTGTTGTTGTTGTTGTTTACTGTTGAGGTTGTTTTATGTTGTTGTAGTTATTGTTGTTGTTGTTTTTGTTGTTTACAGTTGAGGCTGTTTTCTGTTGTTGTTGTTGTTGTTGTTGTTGTTTACTGTTGAGGTTATTTTCTATGGTTGTTGTTGTTATTATTATTATTATTGTAGTTGTTGTTGTTGTTGTTGTTGTTGTTGTTGTTGTTGAAGTTTTCTGTTGAGGTTGTTGGGGTTGTTTTTTCGTTGTTGCACTGGTTGTTGTTATTCTGTTGTTGTTTTTGTTATTGCTGAGGTCGTTTTTTGTTGTCGCCTTTGTTGTTGTTGTTGTTGTTGTTACAGTTGTTGTTGTCATTTGTGATACTATACTGTAAAGGATGTTTTCTTTTGTTGTTGTTGTTGTTGTTGTTGTTGTTGTTGTTGTTGTTGTTGTTATTTCAATATTGTTGCTTTTGTTGTTGTTTTTAACGTTTGAAGTGGAGGTCGTGGTGATAGTAATGGTGATGATGGTGATGGCAATAGTAATGATATTAGTGGTAGCAGTGATGGTAACGGTGGTGGTGGTGGTGGTGGTGATGATAGTATTGGTGGTGGTGGTGATGGTGCTGAAGGTAGATATAATGGTAATGTTGATAGATCTAATGGTAATGGTGGCTACCTGGAATTTATGGGTTCCCACCCTTTGTCCCGGCTATGGCGAATCATGTCGTAGAGGCCGACGTCTTTGCCCTTCCTGTGATAGTCCATCCGTTTTTTCTTGAGTCTGATGTGTGTGAACAGGGACGGTTAGGGAAAATAAAAAGACACCATTTGGCACGGAGTTGATGAGATGATGATGATGATGTAGTAGTAGTAGTAGTAGTAGTAGTAGTAGTAGTAGTAGTAGTAGTAGTAGTAGTAGTAGTAGTAGTAGTAGTATAGTATA